AAGCAAGATGTCCATGCAGCACGACAGAGTAAATACACATTAGAAACATATATATCCGGCGTTGCGACACCCGGTGATTAGAAATACTCGCCGAAGAGACCAGCGAACAATCCATCAGTCTCAATCAGTGTAAGTCGTACAAAGTAATTTCTCACAAAATGTGAAAGTGAAGTAAAACGTAACTGTAATAATAATTTTTCCTCCAAGGTTGAAATAATCGTTTCTCGTAGCGAGAGAAATTAAGAAGGACAAGTGTATTCACGAAGAACAGAAAGTGGGATTCACACGAGAATAATATCTTTTGTCGTACTTCTACCGAAAAAGTCGCGTGCAGTACAGGCTGAAAGGTGTCTCTCAGTGACCCATTTTTCGGAATGGATGATAGAAACTTTTGGGACGGTATTTTTGGATCGTGTGATTCATAGTCGAGCGAGATGCGCCGCAGGGCGATCTGGCTGACTAGCATGGTTTCGTTTTAAAACGGCATGTCCACGGAAAGTCGGCCGCGAGGCGATCCTTGGAGCACCGGCTAGTCACGCGAAGTTTCGTTGAACTCCTGACGAGGTTAATAACAGCCGTGCTCGTCGGGATCGATGTTTGATTAAGAACGGAAGATTGCACCCCGTTAAAAGCCCATTCGCTGCATTCTCGTAAGTGGATGCTCGTAGGGCTGTGGCCTTTAAGCCTACATTTAAATAGATCACGTCATAGTTCACCGACTGCACGATGCATATCACCGTGGTATTATACGAGTCGGTCATCGATCATTCTCATCCTGCGAATCTTCACCCTGGAAAACGCAAGTTTGATAATCGAGAAACGTAACCGTCGTTTCTCTGAGCTTCTCTCTTTTCATTTCGAAACACGTTACTCTTGAAGCTCGTAGTCTTCACCGATTCTCTTAAGATTAATTTGCATTGTCTACATTAATTTAAAGATAAATCTTTGTTGCCTATTGCTTCGTATAAACACTGTTCGAAATTTCGTACATCCAAATTTCAATTCTTCCACGCCTTTGCCGTCGATGTCTCGAGGAAACTGCCATTCCTCTTCGTTAATCGACGACAAACGCCAGATCTAATATTTTAAGCCTCTGTAATCCAAATCCGGTTTGTGCAATAATACCTTGCGATACGCGGATACGAGTTATCGCACTTAACGAGGAAGGCGGAAGCAATAAAGCTACTTCAGTCTGCAGTCCAATCGCATGTCGTGAAATCTCGCTTCACGATCGACGGTATCACGTGCAAGATTGCAACTGTAGCAATCTCGGTGTTGCCTACAATGTCTATCGCTCGCGTCATTGATCTACTGTCGCATTGAAAAACTCTCGCAGCCTCCTCCTAATCATGGCTAACGCGCACTTATGCTATTTTATCTTTTAATAGGTGGTTCACCGGTGGAATGTGATATATCGATCGCCCGCGTGTTATTTCACCCGTTCGTGTACCGCGAGTGCACTGCGAGCGCACTTTCTCCACGGAAGACTCCCGATGCTTTCGAGCATGGTAATCGCAGTACTTTTCTAGTGCTGTCGCGCCGCTGGAATCCACGGATCGCGACGTATGCATCCTCCTCGACGATGCATGCAGCTGCATTCGAGCTGCCGTCGCCATATATCTGTGTAGGGCGTCCACCGCGCGTCTATCGCTTCTTCGTAATCTCGGCTGGCGTGCAGCCGATGAGACGCGAACGCTGCGTTCGATTTGAAGCGCATAGCGCTCACGCGCTATAAGCTTTATTCTATCTTTATCCCTCGTTAGTCGTTACATGCGGAAGGAAGATTGAATGAAGTTTACAGTGTATGAGCGTCCAACCGAAGCCGTTATCTTATCGCTCTTTCATCGGTTTAAATTATATAATACACGGAATGTGGCCATTTTACATATTCGATAGAGATTAGATTGACGTTGCAATAATTTTTGCAAATATCTTTGCATCTCAAAATTGCAACCTTTTAATTTTTACCGTTAAATACATTTGATATCCAAATGAAAATTAGAATTTATTCGAAGTTTCAACGTAGAGCACGTGTTGTTGTATTTTCTATTCAGCCTAGAATAGCCTCCAGTTCTCGAAAGGATTGCTCGTAACTCAAGTTTGATACCGCTATAAATAACGTCAATTTTCTTCAACATAATTTGCCGAACCTGATCATCGACAATTTTGGAGCGGCCCCGTGTATGTAACATATGTCGGGCAAAACGTGCCCATCGAGCGCGAGCGGAACAAAGACGAAGAGGAAGACGAAGAGACAGACGACGGCGGCGGCGAGGTTGCCAAGTTGTGTTTACATACCGTCTACGTGCTCCCCGAAGGGCCCTCTCGGTCAAGAGGCACGGTTTAACCCGATGCGAATCCGGTCGGCACAGACTGAGAATCGTATTCATGGCGTCGCGTCGTAGAAGTTGGCGCGCCACGCGATTCAGACTGACCCTAACACACAAAGGCTTTGCTTTGCAGAAGGTTGTTGCGTGTTTAGAGTCTTGCCAGTGAATTGGGTGCAAAGTCACGGGGGGCTGTCGTGAGGTAGAGAAGACTCCTGAAGCCTCCTTGTTCGCTTGTAAAATAGGAACTGATTCGAAAATCCTGAGAAAGCATCCTCGAAACATGTCGCGATGACAATAATTGGGCAACGCGCCTTTTGTATATTAAGGGGATGCTGGAGTTATCAATGGAGCGTTATTTCATTTTTCTCAAACCATTTTGTTTTTTTTTTTGTACAGAATAAAAAATCCTTCTCCAGAATAAAAGAAAAAAACGCAAATACCATTGGAAAAGTACAAACCGGTATGAAAATCCCCCAAAAATTGTAAATTACAGTTTTCTGTTACCATGTAGGTTCGCTTCCTTCATATATATACATATAAATGAATGGAAGGATAAATCCAAACAAAAAGTACTTTTCCATATTCGAGTAATTTATAAGAATATCATGAGACCTTCAAAGTATGATTTTGAAGTTTACAAGAGAAATGGCTTGAAATGTACGATTTGAGTATGTATAACCTCGT